TCTGTCTATGTAGAATCCTTCAAATTGCCCTAATAAAGATAAAGTTCTTAGAAGTGACATTTATCATTTTTCCATATAGAAATATAAACAGCTTAACTTTATTAAATCTCTTATGATCACTCTTTCATGTTTATCTTTCATACTTCTCTTGAATCTTATGTTTGAATGTCATATTTTCTGATCAGCTCTTATCTTTTCTTCAGGAATGCTTGAAAGTCCTGTATTTCATTAAATAATCCACTCCTCCCCCTCCCTCTGAAAATATTATACTCAGTTCTGTGGGGTGGGATTTTCTTGGTTATAATCCTAGCTCCTTTGCCTTTCAGAATATCATATTCAAAACCCTCCACTCTTTTAAAGTGGAAGCTGGTAAATCTTGTGTGGTCCTGACTGTGGCTCCATGGTATTTGAATTGTTCCTTTCTGGCTGCTTGCAATATTTTCTCTTTGACCTGAAAGCTCTGGAATTAGACTATAACATTCCTGGGAGTTTTCATTTTGGGATCTCTTTCAGAGGTGATTGGTGGATTCTTTCAATTTCTAATTTATCCTGTGGTTCTAGAATATCAGGGCAGTTTTCTTTGATAGTTTCTTGAAATGTGATGTCTAGGCTATTTTTTTGTCATGGATTTTAGGTAGTCCAATAATTCTTTTTTTTTTAATAGTATATTATTTTTCCCCAGTTACGTGTTAAGAAAAAAAAACTTGGCACTAATTTTACAAGGTTTTGAATTCCAAATTTTTCTCCCTCTCCCCCTTTCCTCCTTCCCTCTCCTTTTCTGAAAATGTTAAGCAGTTTAATATAGTTTATACATGTGCTATCATGTAAAAATATTTCCATATTAGTCACAGCTGTGAAAGAAGAAACAGATCAAAAAGGGGGAAAAATAACGCAAGAAAGAATAAAGTGAAAATATATGCTTCAGTCTGCATCAGAATACATCAATTCTTTATCTGGATGTGGACAGCATTTTCCTTTGTGAGTCCTTTGTACTTGTCTTGGATCATGTGTTTGCTGAGAAGAGCTGAGTCATTCATAGTTGATCAGCACACAATGCTGCTGATACTGTGTACAATGTTTTCCTGGTTCTGCTCTTTTTACTTTGCATATAAGTCTTTCCAGATTTTTCTGAAATCTGCCTGTTCATCATTTATTATTGCACAATAGTGTTCCATTACATTCATAAACCACAGCTTATTAAGCCATTCCCCAACTGATGGGCATCCTCTCAATTTCCAATATTTTGCCACCGTGAAAAGGACTACTATAAATATTTTTGCATATGTGGGTCATTTTCCCTTTTTTATGATTTTTTTAAGGATATAGGCCTAATAGTGGTATTACTGAATCAAAAGGTATGCACATTTTGGTTGCCCGTTGGGCACAGTTCCAAATTGCTCTCCAGAATGGTTGGATCAGTTCACAACTCCACCAACAGTGCATTAGTATTCCAATTTTCCCACATCTTCTCCAGCACTTACCATTTCTCTTTTCTGTCTTATTAGCCAATCTGATAGGTGTGAGATGGTAACTCAGAGTTGTTTTAATTTGCATTTCTCTAATCAAAAGTGATTTAGAGCACTTCTTCAAATGCCTACAGATAGCTTTGATTTCTTCATGTGAAAACTGTCTGTTCATATCTTTGACCATTTCTCAATCAGGGAATGGTCTCTGTTCTTGTAATTTTGACTGAGTTCTCTTTATATTTTAGAAATGAGGCCTTTATCAGAGACTCTTGCTGTAAAGATTATTTATTATCTTTCTGCTTTCCTTCTAATCTTGATTGCATTGGTTTTGTTTGTACAAAGGTTTTTTAATTTAATATATTCAAAATTATCTTTTTTACATTTTCATAATGCTCTCTGTCTTTGGTTTGGTCATGAATTTTCCCCCTCCCCATAGATCTTACAGGTAGACTATTCTTTGCTTTCTAATTTGCCTATGGTATTATCCTTTATGTCTAAATCATGTTGAAGGTCTGTCATATCTAACTTTTCTAATGTTCTATTTACCTGCTTAGTTTCTTTCATGTTTATTTTTTGGTTAGATTTATTGAGTTTTGAGAAGGAACAGTTGAGGTCCCCCACTAGTATAGCTTTGCGTCTATTTCTTCCTTATACTGATGAGTTTTAAGTGTTTGGTCTGAGGTCAGGATTTAAACTCAGGTCCTCCTGACTTCAGGGCTGGTGCTCCATCCACTGCACCACCTAGCTACCCCTGAAGGTGGGATTTTAGCTCAGACTGTCAGAATCTCCATGCTAGGTCCTATATGATTCTAATTGTGGCTCCACCATGTTTGAATTGTTTTATTTTTTTCTTGTTGCTCATAATTTTTTCTCCTTGAGGTGGGGGCTTCGGAAATTGACTATGATATTCCTATAGGTTTTCATTGCAGGATCTCTTTCAGGTGGTGATTGGTGGAATTTTTCTATTTCTATTTTCCCCTCTTATTCTAATGCTTCAGGACAATTTTCTTTAATTATTTCTTGTGTTATTGTATCAAGATTCTTTTTTTTTTTTGATTAAAGCTTTCAGGTAGTCTGATTATTCTTATGTTTACTCTCCTTGATCTGTTCTCCAGATCAATAATTTTTCTTGTGAGATGTTTCACATTCTCTTCTTTTTTTTAATTCTTTGTATTTTGTTTTATTATTTCTTGATCTCTTATAATTTCACTGGCTTCCCCTTGCCCAGTTTTAATTTTCAAGAGGTCATTTTCTTCCTTAAGATTCTGGATCTCTTTTTCCAGTTGGTTGACTTTCTTTTTATAATCTTCTTATTTTTCTTGGATTGTTCTCATTTTTTTTCTATTTTGTTTTCCTCAATCTCTCTCATTTGATTTTTAAAGTCTCTTTAAAGTTCTTCTATGAATTCTTTTTTTGCAGGTGACCATTTGACATTACTCTTTGGAGAAGGAGAGCTTTTTTTTTTATTGTTTCAGTATCCTCCTCTGAAGATAAACTCTAGTCTTATAGCAATTTTCTATAGTTGGGTTCTTTCTTTTTTTTGCTTGTTCACATTTTCATATGTAGCAGCTTATTATTGTAATCACATGTAGTCCTTCTAGATCCTTCTTTAGTCATCCCCTCTGGCCTAGAACAGAAACCAAGAACTTTGACCTCCTGTAAGTGCCCACAGGCATGCCCACCTCACTGTTTCTGCACTCACTGACCATGTGCTGATTCCTTCTCACCCAGGGTTGTGTCTATGCAGCACAGCTGGGCCTGTCATCCCTTATCAGCAGAGGTCCCCTCAATCTTCCCCTACTCAGACACCTGATGCCCCACACTGTCTAGGAGGTGAAAAGTCCTGTGGTTGAGGTGAGACTACCTCTTAACTCAGCTAGTCTCAGGTCTTTCCACTTGCTATTTCAGTGGAACTACCCTGGAGGTGTTTAGAATTCACAGGGACCAAACCTCCTGGGATTTATCTTTGGATTTTCTCTGGTTGTCGCGGGAGCACCACTGTTCTGCCCTAGGAGTACCACTGTTCTGCCCCAACTCTTGCTTATTTTTACTGCTCTATGTTCAACATGAGGCACTATTTTGTCTTGTTTGTAGGGGAAATCTGGAGAGATTGGAATTTTCTGACCTACTCTACCATCTTCCCAGAATCCTCCAGAGATGCAATCTTTAAGAATTATGAGTATCATGTTCCCATGCAGTGATGTAAATAGCTTTGCCCTATTGAATCCTTTATGTTTTCTTTTCCCTTTTTACCTGATTATGCTTTTCTTGAATCTTGATATTGTAGGTCAAATTTTTGGTTTAGTTCTGGCCTTCTTCTTATGAAAACTTGAAATCCTTCTGTTTCATTAAATGACAATTTTTTTGCCTTGATGTGTTATGCTTAATTTTTCTGGGTAAATGATTTTTGAATATAGACCTAGCTCCTTTGCTTTCCAGAATATCACATACCTCTGCTCCTTTAAAGTTGCAGCTGCAAAGTCCTGTGTTATCCTGATTGTGACTCTTTGATATTTGAATTGTCTCTTTCTGGCTACTTTTAGTACATTTTCCTTGACCTGATAGTTCTGAAATTTGGCTATAACGTTCCTTGGAGTTTTATTTTGGGATCATTTTCCTGAGGTGATTGGTGGATTCTTTCAATGCCTATTCAATCCCTTTGATTTCTGGACATCAGGAAAGTTTTCCTAGATAATTTTTTGAAAGACACTGTCCAGGTCCTGCTTTTGATTGTGGCTTTCAGGTAGTCCAATGATTCTTATATTGTCTCTCCTGGATCTATTTTCCAGGTCAGTTTTTTTTTTCCCCATGAGGTATTTTACATTTTCTTCCATTTTTTTATTCTTTTGAATTTGTTTGATTGATTCATGATATCTCATAGAATTATTAGCTTCTACTCGCCCAGTTCTAACTTTTAAGGTGTTGTTTTCCTCAATTATACTTCCTTTTCCATTTGATCAATTGTACTCTTTTTTTTGTTTGTTTGTTTGTGAGGCAATTGGAGTTAAGTGACTTGCCCAGGGTCACACAGCTAGTAAGTGTCAAGTGTTTGGTCTGAGGCCGGATTTGAACTCAGGTCCTCCTGACTTCAGGACCGGTTCTCTATCCACTGCACCACCTAGCTGCCCCCAATTGTACTCTTTAAGGAGTTGTTTCCTTCAGTAGATTTTTGTATTTCCTTTTCCATTTGGCCAATTTTACTTTTTAAGCAGTTTTCCAAACTGTTGATTCTTTTTTCATAATTCTCTTGCACCACTCTCATTTCTTTCCCTCTTTTTCTTCTACCTCTCTTATATGCTTTTTAAGCTCCTTGTTGAGCTCTTCCATGAATTCTTTCTGGGCTTGAGACCGCTTCTGAGTTTGCTTTAGGGTTTTACCCGTAGGTGTTTTGACATTATTGTCCTCTTCTGAATTTGTGTCTTGGTCTTCCCTTTCACCATATTAACTTTCTGTGGTCAGATTCTTTTGTTGTTATTGTTGTTGTTTTGCTCATCTTTTTTTTTTTTGGCTTTTTTCCTTTCTTGTAAATTTGAGCTCTGCACCTAGGGTAGAAGGAGTTCTGTCTCAGGCTTCGTGTGCCGGTGGACCCTGAGGGACCTTCATGTCTGGTGCTGTGCTGAGGGAATGGAGTAGGGGAGTGGCTGGCACTGCTGGAGGCTGTAGGGGTATGTATGGAAGCTTACCTGGTACTGAGCTGGGGTCCTAGTGGTGGTGTCTGGTATATGCTGAGGGTCAGTGACATGTTTCTGGATTTCCCCAGGGTCACCCTGAAGCACATGGAGGTCTAGCCACTGGAGGATGCCTTGGACTGTGCTGAAGCATTTGGTGGTTCTTCAAGCTGGAGTTTGCCAGTTCCCCTGGCTATGCCAACGTATGTGTGTGGGGGGGGAGGGTGATTTTCATGAACATCTAAACCAATAAAGGACTTTTTCTTCACTTAGTCTAATGAGAAATATTCTTTCCTAGATAAGTTAGGGCATAGCCTAATATTTACTTAAAGTGGGGAGGGCTAATTGATAGATTGACTCAGTTGTCCCTTTTAAGAATGGTAAAGATGTAACTTCATTAAGCAAGCAATAGTATCAAAGGCCAAATTATAAAAGTTTTAGGCCACTAAAGTGTTTATGAAGAATAAGTAACTACCACCATTGGACTTGTCTGTTACCTATATCTATCTATCTATCTATCATCTATCTATCTATCTATCTATCTATCTATCTATCTATCTATCATCTATCTATCTATCTATCTATCTATCTATCTATCTATCTATCTATCATCTATCTATCTATCTATCTATCTATCATCTATCTATCTATCTATCTATCTATCTATCATCTATCTATCTATCTATCTATCTATCTATCTATCTATCTATCATCTATCTATCTATTTATCTATCTATCTATCTATCATCTATCTATCTATCTATCTATCTATCTATCTATCTATCTATCATCTATCTATCTATCTATCATCTATCTATCTATCTATTTATCTATCTATCTATCTATCTATCTATCATCTATCTATCTATCTATCATCTATCTATCTATCTATCTATCTATCTATCATATATCTATCTATTTATCTATCTATCTATCTATCTATCTATCTATCATCTATCTATCTATTTATCTATCTATCTATCTATCTATCTATCTATCATCTATCTATCTATTTATCTATCTATCTATCTATCTATCTATCTATCTATCTATCATCTATCTATTTATCTATCATCTATCTATCTATCTATCTATCTATCTATCTATCTATCATCTATCTATCTATTTATCTATCTATCATCTATCATCTATCTATCTATCTATCATCTATCTATCTATTTATCTATCTATCATCTATCATCTATCTATCATCTATCTATCTATCTATCATCTATCTATCTATCTATCTATTATCTATCTATCAATCTATCAATCTATCTATCTATCTATTTATCTATCTATCTATCTATCTATCTAGCTATCTATCATCTATCTATTTATCTATCTATCTATCTATCTATCTATCTATCTATCTATCTATCATCTATCTATCTATCTATCTATCATCTATCTATCTATTTCTATCTATCTATCTATCTATCTATCTATCTATCTATCTATCATCTATCTATCTATCTATCTATCATCTATCTATCTATCTATCTATCTATCTATCTATGTATCTATCTATCATCTATCTATCTATTTATCTATCTATCTATCTATCATCTATCTATCTGTCATCTATCTATCTATCTATCTATCTATCATCTATCTATCTATTTATCTATCTATCTATCTATCATCTATCTATCTATCTATCTATCATCTATCTATCTATCTATCTATCTATCTATCTATCTATCTATCATCTATCTATCTATTTATCTATCTATCTATCATCTATCTATCTATCATCTATCTATCTATCTATCTATCTATCTATCATCTATCTATCTATTTATCTATCTATCTATCATCTATCTATCTATCTATCTATCTATCTATCTATCTATCTATCTCTATCTATCTATCTATCTATCTATCTATCTATCTATCTATCATCTATCTATCTATCTATCTATCTATCTATCATCTATCTATCTATCTATCTATCTATCTATCTATCTATCTATCATCTATCTATCTATCTATCTATCATCTATCTATCTATTTATCTATCTATCTAAATCAATATCTATCTATATCTGTATTTGTAGATCCATATATGTGTGTATATATCTATGTATTTGTATCTATCCATCTATATCTATCTGTCTCTATCAATACCTATCTATATCTCTATTTGTAGATCCATATATGTGTGTATATCTGTATATATTTATATCTATCCATCTATATTTATCTCTATATTTCTAACTCTCTATTTAGATCTATATATCTCTGTCTCTATCTATCTACCTGTCTATATTTGTTACTGTGGCCTGTCAAGAATGAGTCTAGCAGCAGATCGTGAAAGGAAGCAATCATAGGAATGATTTTCAAACCCTTAGTGATCAGTCTGAGTAGGTATAGAGGCTTTTGATATTAGGCTTGTCAAAAGTCTGAGTTATGAATAAGCCCAGGAAGGGTATGATTCCAAGAAAAGTATTCACAGCAAATTAGGAAGACTCCAGATAAAATCTGGAGACAGAATCATGAATAGATTAGGCCTAAATTAGGAATCATTACAGATTGCTGAAAAGGGCACTTTAAGCTTCTTCCCCAACCCCAATCTTGTTTTATAAAATCTATTGTTGGGGCAGCTAGGTGGAGCAGTGGATAGAGCACTGGCCCTGAAGTCAGGAGTACCAGCAGTTCAAATCCGGCCTCAGACCAAACACTTGACACACTTACTAGCTGTGTGACCCTGGGCAAGTCACTTAACCCCAATTGCCTAAAAAAAAAATCTATTGTCTTTAAGTAAAGTACGTCATGACATCATTTAAGCTTGAGAATTTTAATAAAGAATTCTGTGAATTTTTTTTTCATGGATAAGACTGAAAAAGCATGCACTTTTAAACTCAGTTAATCAGAATCATGGACTAAGTCTGGTAATTTAGAACAGAGATTTGGTGATAATATATCCTAATTGTAAGTAAAGTACCTGAGAGTACAAAGGAAACTTCTTGAATGCTAAACTTTCAGATTTACAAATTGACTAGGCATGTTATGTTCTTCCAGGACATCAACTAATCTAGCTTGAGAGACTCTTGAATGCTTCAGGCCAGTAGGGGGTTGGTAGGGGTGGGGGGAGGGGAACTGAATGATTGTCTTTGAAAGGGTCCAAGTATGAGAAACAATTTAGGCTGTGTTAGAATTAAGTTCAATAAGTCAGCCTTACCATTTTCTTCTCTAGGATTATCTCTTGTGCACAAATGGAGAACAGATGACAGGTGAAGTACTATACAAAGGTTTTACCTGTATTTAGCTAAGGGTGGAACTATATTTGGTGAGATTAAGCCCTACTAGACTTGTATGGTTAATGGTAAAGGTTTTCAACTTGTCTGCTGTCCCTCAGGACAGGAATTTACCATTTACTGTCCAACATTCCTTTTCTCCAGAGCAAAACCAGTGCACTGATGTCATCTAATCCTTTTTTTTATAGATATATACACACACATACACACACACACACACACACACACACACACACACACACACACACACACACATATATATATATATATATATTATATATTTTTCTTCCTTGGACTAGTAGTGTTCTTTTTTTTTCCTCTTTGGCATTTCTGCCCCATTACCCCATTCCTGTAGAGAAGGGGTGTGTGTGTTTGTGTGTGTGTATTTGGTAGCCACCTTTTTGCCCATCTCTGCTTTGAAAAAAAAAGCTGGCAATTGAACAAACTAAGTTTATTTTTGCTAAAAAAAAATAATAATAATGAGATATCAGGAACTATGAAAGCCCTGAGCTGATAAAATATTGCAATATGGTATAATGGAATCATCTCTGGCCTTAGAGTCAAAAGACATAGTTTCATGCTTCCTAGCTTGGTGACTCTGGGTAAATTATCCAACTCCCACCCTCCTTTTCAGTTGCCTCAGTTTCCACATCTACAAAATAGATATAATAATACTTGTTCTTACTATCTCACAGAGTTATTTGGAGGAAAGTGAGCTATGGAACTTAAAGTGTTAGACACACATACACCATTATTATTAGACAAAGGAATAATCTCATCTAATGGCCTGACTCCTTTCCCCATCTCTTGTCTGTGACATGCACTTGCTCTCCATACTCCCTGCAGGGAGGAAAGAAGAATTTAAGGAGTAGTAATGAAATAAGATTTGTCCCCCCACTCCCATGGTTGTTCCTAGACTGCTCCAAACACCATTCTACATGGTCTTTCCTCTTTGCCCTGCCTTCAGTTAGTTGATCCTGCCACTTCTTGGTTAACAAAGAACATTCCTCTGGTATCAATCACTACATGGCATCTTCTGGGGAGTAGGAGGGGCAAGGGAATAAGGATTTACATAGAACCTACTATATGCTAATTGCTTTTTACAAATATTTCATTTGAGCTTTACAGCAATCTTGTGAGGTAAGTGCAATTAATATTCTCATTTTGTAGAGTCGAGGAAACTGAAGCTGAGTGATTTGCCCGGGGTCACACAGCTGGGAAGTGTCTGAGGCCAGACTTAAACTTAGTCTTCCTGATTCCAGTCCCAGAGTCAGCTGCCTTTAAAATGCTGGCCAAGTGAAACCCCTGGTAACAGTAAAGCACTAGATAATAGATGCCATAGACGAGTGCCTGGTTAGTGAAGGGTAGGGGAGTGAAAAGTGAGGCATAAGGATAGAGATCAGATTGAGTTAGAAGACCTGGAATCTAGTCCAGGTATGTAACCTTTTTAAGCCTCAATTTCCTCGTCTGTAAAATTAGAGGATTAGACCCAGTGACCTTTAAAGTTCCTTTTGGCTCTTAATCCTATGATCCTAAAGGAGTAGTGTATAGCCAAAAACTCAGTGGGCTGAGTCACATGACCTGAGCCCTGTAATGAGATAGCTATATTAGGACCCTCTCTGGGTCCTTTCCATCTCTGTAAATAATCATAATGAAGAAAAGAAGGAAACAAGCATTTGTTACGTGCCTACTATGTATCAGGTGTTGTGCGAAAGTGTTTTACAAATATTATCTCATTTGATCCTCATAACAACCCTGGGAATTGGTACTGTTATGATTTTACAGTTGAGGAAACTGAGACAGGTGAAGAAGAAGAAGAAGAGGAGAAGGAGGAGGAAGAAGAAGCAACATTTATATAGCGTTTACTATGTGCCAGGCACTGTGCTAATTGCCTTATAATTTATTATCTCATTTCTTCCTCACAACAACCTTGGAAGGTAGGTGCTATTATTATCCCCATTTTATAGATGACAAAACTGAGGCAGAGAAT